AGAAACAGGTCGTAACTAAAAAAGAAAAAAAAAAAACCAAAAAACAGTGTTTTTGTTTAACCACTTTGTCCTTGAAAAGACAGTGCCTGTGACTTGAAAGTACTATTATATTTGGATTGTCAAGTAGATCTGCAGCGAACATTTCAGGAGAAGCAAAAGCATGGAGAATAGTAATAAATATATGGGGTTAAAATACAAGCAGTTTGGTTTAGTGATGTTTTACTGAGGACAGCCCATTTTGGGTAGAAAATAGCATGCACTGAGTACCTTTATGGCGACTGGACTTGAAGGAAGCTATGTGCAGGGTAGTGATGACCTATTCCAAGGTGATAGCCATGGAAAGAGGTAAGAAGAGCCTGAACTCTTGGATCTCGGAAGCTCCTGCCTAGTGGCACAGCACTGTACTTGAAGTCAGCAGATGTAGCATCCTGGTTCTGACCCACTGTGGGATCTTGGAAAAACTTGTCTGACTTATTTGAATGTCAGTGACCTCGTTCGAAAACATGGTACTGATACCTACCTCTCAGGTTACGTGTCATGAAAAAAATGTGGTAACAAATGTGAAAACACATTGTCAACTGTAAAGGGTGCTATAGAAATGTAAGACAGAATGAGCACAGTGGCCACTAGTTACCTACTGAAATGTTGAGGCCACTTTTTTAAAATCTGAAGGACAGTAAAATGGGAAAGTTAGAGCGGGCACGGGGATTTCTCATTTGGGCTATGTTGAGTGTTGGTAGACTATTATCGGACATCTCCGATAGGTATATAGTGCTTTGGTACTTGAAGCTTTCTGGGGAATTTAGATGTTTTGACCTAAAATAAATTCCTATTCCTGAACACCAGCTATGCACCAGGCAGTTAGACACTGAATGTAGCAGCTGAGGGGTTAGGCTGTAGTGGCAGGAACAGAAGAACAAGTAAACAGGAACCCTTTATCAGGGACAGTAAGTCCTTCATATAAGGAACGTGGAGAGCGTTTGGTTAGACAACAGTGGGGGAGTTTGTAGTTAGCACGGGGGTGGTGTAAGGGTGGAATTTAGGTAGTTAGAAAAGAGCTGAGTGTGACCAAAGCTGCCAGATGACGGACAGGAAGGAGCCAGTCACACGAAGGACCAGGGGAGGGATGTTCCGGACAGAGAACAGCGGGTCCCATCTGCTCATCACGGTACTCCAGCATCTTGGAGTGGCCAGGAAGCAGCAAGTGGGTAACCGTCCTTAGAGTCACTGTTGTTATTGTTGTTTGTAGAGAAGAGAGTGCATGATAAGGGCCTGGCACGTGCGGGTGGTCACTAAACAGTGTTCTTATTCTTCCCTTAGTAAAGTAAAGCTTATGGTACTTTTTTGAAGAGCTGCATAGCTACATTTAAAATTTTTCTGCTGTTTGTTTAAGCATAAATGTTCTTCTTTCTACTTTGGTACTTTATTCAACTATTTTCCCTATCAAAAAAGTTTTATCAAATAATAGTTAGATTCTGCTAAGCCTTTGTTTACTGAGATGTAGCAGTTTCCACAGTGTTCTGTTAATATTCAACATGACAGACTCCAAGGCTTCTTTTCATGGCACGTATGTTATTTTAATACTAAAAAACAGTACCTGTCCTAAGAAACATTTTAAACTTTTAGCACATACACTTACTAGAGAATATATTTAAATATATGTATTTTTAATTTTATTTTTTAGTGAAGTGTAATCAGTTTATGATGTTAGTTTCAAGTGTACTGCAAAGCAATTCAGTTATACAGATAAAAATGTGTCTTTTTTTAAACGTCCTCTTCTTCTGTCGAGGAATGCAAAATGGAATTAGCTGTTTTGAAATTAATTTTTCGTTGAAATCTGCATGTAAGTCAGTATTTTGTCTATGAAAATATTTGCTCTGGCTTTCCCTGCTCAGTTTACAGAGTCAAAAAGCCAACTGAAGATAAAAGATAGACTTGCTCTAAAGAGTGTATATGAAATTTTCTATTTAAATGTTTGGGTTTCCAGGATATGGTTATTTTGTTTTTTAAGTCTAATTGCTTTTAAAGTATGAAATTAGAAAAAATACCAATAAGGTAGGGAATGCAGGTATTTTCTTAGAAAGGGATCAGGAAATCTTTATGCAACTCATTGTTAATACTAATTTTAACAGCGTACCTCCGAGATTCAACTACCGAACTGTGTTGATCATTTATCTGGAGCTGCAGGTCTAAGAGAAAAAAATACATTAAATGGACAAATAGAAAGTAAGCACTGTATTTTATAAAAAAGTCATTTGAAAGAATGTTGATTTAAATCATGGATTTGGATCTATTCTCTCAGCCAAAGAAAATCACCTGTTGAACATATAGTGAGAAAAAAGAGGAGGAAAGGAAGTAAATTGTATATCTTATCACGTGCCAGCAACAGATTAAACTAGAATGCTGTTTAAGGAGCTCAGTTGTTAGCTTTTTTTCAAGATGCTCTGTGACCTGAGGACAGTCAGGAAACCAGGAGGAGGGAAGGAGGGAGTGAAGAATGAGAGAGGCAGGGAGGAGGGGAGTAAATGAAGGAAAAGGAGTTGGGGGCTCCTTGGCAGGAGGTGGTAATGTAGAATACTTCTTTAGAAGAAGGAAGAGAAGAGTGTTTGAAATGAGATGGGTATGAAGTGAGCTTCTTCCAGCACCAAAACTTGTCCGGGAGGCACAGCATAATGTTCCACTCCCCCGTCCCCCTGACCGTTAGGAAGGCAGTGAGGACTGCGGTACCTGATCACGCAGAGCTGGGTGTGCCTGCCGAGGGTGAGCACAGGCGGGTGTGGTCAGCTGTCAACGTCTGGATCTTCATGTCATGCGGCGTGTTGCTGCCTTATAGGAAGGTGTCTCATAGGCCAACAGAGGAGTGGGAAAGAGGAAGAGGGCAGAGTGCGTTCCGGGGAGTTCAGGGGCGCTGGAGCCTGGTAAAGAGTCCCCTGAAAAGTCTGCAACCCCTGATGCAGCTTTTGGGGAAGTGTTACAGTGAGACGCATGCGGCTGTATTTCAGAAGGATCAGTTAAGTCCGAATGCTGTAGAAGCAGACTCGGTATAGACCGGAGTTTCTCAAATTTAAATCAGTCACCTGGGGACCCAGTGAAAAGTGCACATTCTGAGCAGTGGGTCTGCATTTCTAACAAGCTCTCAGGTGATGCCCTTGTTGCTGGTCTTCAGATCACGCTCAGAGGGTAGACTTGTGTTTAGGGGAATCTGGAAGAAGAGCCGCTGGGGAGTTAAAGACACAACAGCATCAAGGAAAAGCATGATTTTGAACGTGCATGATCTGAGCACGTTCATAGCCAGAGGGAGGCAAAGAGTTGAAGTAGAAGTTAGAGGTGTAAGATAGTGCTGCTAAGCAGAGAGGAAAAAGAAGTGGTGGGGATCATCCATCAAAAGAATAGAAAAGGGGAAGAATTAAGACCACAGACCTAGAGGTACCTTTGAAAAGGGAAGTGAAAGGAAGGAAGAAAAAAAGGCCACAGGTAGGTGATTTTGGAATTGAGGAAAGTTGAGAGAACTCCTTTTCGATGCCATCAGTGTATTTGCACTGAAGCCAGGTTAGATCATTGCCACTCCAGAGGATACTGGAATCAGGAGGGGGCCTAGAATTGGGGTAAACCACAGCCACTCCTCCTATCAGGCTTCGAAGGTATATGTTGTATTGGTATTTGTTATTCAAGTGAGATTAACTTGAATATGAAGCATTGGTTGTGCTTTTTTTTTTTTTTAAGGATTCCTAGTTTTTTGGTAAGATAGTTTTTTTTCACAAAAAATCCTTGCAAACATTAGCCTGATTTACCAAACCAAACTAATTTAGGAAACAAAAGAAATTAATAGGGTTCATTCCATAAATGCTAAAGTTGTTATTTTCAGTGAATACTACACAGGTTTTGAAATGTAAAAGACTTTTAATATCTAATGATCCTGTGGCAATTAAATTTTTTTTGATCACTAGATTTCAATATTGAAAACTCAGTAGACATTCTTTCTTGCATGAGTGGATCAAGAAACTTTGATGGCTAGAGGATCCAAGAAATGTAGGCATACCAACAGCCCATGTGGGTATGGGAAAAAATATTTTTATGAACTAGTATTCTACAAGTGTGTATCCAAGCTGATCAACTCGTAACACTTTCTCTGATGAGAAGTGAATTGCACGTTGAAATGAACTGTCATCACAACTGTGGACTTCCTAAATCACAGGACAAATTGAAGAGCATGATAAATACTTGTAGTCTAATGGTGTCAGTCGCATTAAAGACTTGCTGTTGCATTTTACCGTCAGCTTTCACATTTGTCTTCTTGGAGCCGTGACTTGTTCCTCTGATTGGAGATCGCTTTTCTCCTCCTCAGGCAGCATGTTCACATTGGTATACGTGCACGTTTCTATTTTATAAAGTCATTTGAAACATAATCGTACTTTTGAGATCTTAACTGCATGTTTTGTTAAACCTACATTCCTGTTCTTTATTGAGTATCTATAATGGATTCATATTTCTGTCTTGTTGCTGTCCTAACTGCCCCTGAAAAACAAAACACCGAAACCTAATGTGTTCATTTCCAAAGCAAGCATGAGGATTGTGCTCAGTACTAACTCTGCGTGAATGGATAGTTGGCTTTCATATTTGCATATAATTGATTATGTGTCCCTTTTGGCTTTTAGATTCTACTGAAAAATATCCTCACTTGAAGGTAAAAACTTTTATACTTTTATCTTGAATTTTTTTTTTTTAATGAGGGTACTGGGAATTTAGCGTAGGACCCCATGCACTGCTAAGCAGGCACTCTAGCACTGAGCTAGACCCTCCCCCCTTGAATTATTACTATAGATTTTATCAAATGTACATTATTAATCGGTTTGTTTCAAAAACCATTCAGCCTGCAGTTGGAGTGAAAGATTCTGTTCCTAATAAAACAAGAGAAATGAAGAATTTACAAACATTCAAATCAGGTAAATTTTGCAATACAAAGTTCACTCTGAAAAGAAGTACAGTCTTCTTATTCCTAATTCCTTTTATTTCTTCAAATTTAATTGAAAGATGACATAAATAAGGCAGATGTTATTATTGATATCCATGTTTGAAATATATATATATAAGCATAAGAAGTAGATTTTTAAAATGTCAGCTTTGACTCGGATGTTTCTGTTGATGCTGGGAGACACTAAAGTGCTCAACTTGGAGTCCCTATACTTCTCGGGGATTCTGAGAGATTATTAGGTTCTAAGATTTTTCCAGAGTTTTAAAATGCTTAATTGAATTCTGACCTTTACGTAGGGGTAAAGCTTCACTTGCTAACGTGTCGGTCATATCTCACTTTAATTAGTTCATCTAGTGCTATCACATTGATGATATTTATTTCTGTATTTATTTATTAATGGAGGTCCTAGGGATTGAACCCAGAACCTTGTGCATGCTAAGCATGTGCTCTACCACTGAGGTATTTCCCTAGCCCAAAGATCTTATGTCAACTGGATGTTTTGATTAGCAGTGTGTGTGTGTGTGTGTGTGTGTGTGTTTGATTATTAAAAATGCTGGAAGTAATTAGTCCTACCTTAATATTTGGTAGGCACAATCTTTTAAAACAATAATCCTAGAAGTTTTGGCATTTAGGATATTTTTTATACTATTAAAAATTACTGAGAATTCTGAAGAACTTTTAAGTGGGTTGTATCTATTGATGTTCAGTATATTAGAAAGTAAAACTGAAAGATTTAAAAAGCAAGCACACACACACACATTCCATTAGCCGTTAGAGCTGTGATGTTATCACATGTCATGTATCTGGAAACCTCCACTGCACACTTAACAGAGAATGAGAATGAAAATAGCATTCAGTATTACTGTGAAAATAGTTTTGACCTCCTGGACTCCCTATATGGAGGGAACTTGGGGCTTCAGGGCTTCTCAGATGACACTTGAGAACTGCGGTTTTAAACAGTTCATGGATGTGAAATAAGTGGGCTTTAAAGTTCACTTCTACATTTCCTGCCTTTTTTTTTCTTTAACTTGTCTTAAAAAGTTTGAAGCTGACAACTTAATTCTTTTTTAAAAAAGGAAAACATTTTTGTTACATATTTCCTGTCTCGTGGCACTCTACTCTTTGGACCTAGTTTGTACCTAGATTTACCCTATTTTTATATGGAAAAAATTAGTCACTCAAGGCTATCCTTCCTTATATAAATTTATGATGTTTATCCACGGCTTAAGGTAAGAATTCTGAAGATATTGGTACATTGAGGAAAGATTGTCTCATTGTAATGTAAGTAGTACCATTCAGTAAAAGTTTTCTTAAAGCCCATGTCTCTAGGACACAATACTGTCATGCATACTTAAACGTCCAGTAAATGGCTAGTTAGACATACATTTTGTTAATGAAAAAATTCACATGTTGAAGAAATAATTATTCATAAAGCTCTTACGGAATATTGACTGTTTTATAGAGAGTGATGAGTGAATCCAAAAAAGTAATACTAGAAAATTAAAAGTAGAAAGAGAGACAGTGCTTCCCTATGTGAACAGCAATGACATGTAAAGTACAACCAGCTGGGAAGGAGCAGCGTGTTTGTGGGGAGAGGAGGACGTGGGGCGGCTGCTCTGGGAAGAGAATCCGTACAGGTTATTCAAGTTTGTGTTGTTACTCACATTCTAATAAGTGGAAACTTTGTTTTCAGATCCTTCAGACTGGGATTCTACTAGTTTGAGCCCCAATAATGGGGCTGGTCAAAGAGCCAAGCTTTTGAAAGT